AGCCCTGGCCAAGGCTCTGGTGAGGCTCCAGCCCCAGGAATCCCCCTGGTGTCCCAGGGGTGCAGGGGAGGCAGAGCCAGGCCAGTGGCTCTGGACCCCGCTCCCCTGGGTGGGGAGGAGATGAGCAGGCTCCAAAAACAGAGGAGAGACACAGCTCTGCCTAAAGGGGAATGGGGAGAGACCGGCGTGATGAAATGAGGTAGCATTAATTAGAATTGATTTTATTTAAAAACCTTTGGGGCTGTCTCACCACCTCAACTATTGCATAAAACATTTCATTTTAATAATGCACTTTAATTGCGTCTCCTTTCATTTATGGGGGTGCTTGACACCGTTTCATGCGGCTGGGAGCAGCCGTTCTTCTCTTTGCTGCTCTTACAGATAGCCTGGTCAAAACCACGCGTCCTTCAGTGACGGTGCTGAAATGATACCCACTCTGATGAGTTTCTCTCATTTGCTTGGACCCACATTCATGAGCTGCTGTATTTGTAAGAAAAACAGCGCTGTGGTGCCACTTGAGGCCTGCAGATTGGAGCTGGACCACGGTGTTCAGGTGTTGGGCTGAGCATTGCAATAGGAACAGCACCTGACCTGAGAACCATTAATTGAAAACAAATTGGTGCTGTAAGGAGCAAGTGCTGAGAGGTAGATGTGTTTGCTGGTCTGAGTATGAAGAAGGCTAAAAAATGCCTCCCTATGAGCCACTGTGGTTCAAAGAGGAAGAGCTGATTTACAGTCCATTATAATTTGTACATCTGGAAATTTGTTAGAGTAATTAAATGCTAATATAAAAAAGAGATTCAAAGGGATAGCTTCCTTAAAGATTACTCTCAACTACCTAGGGTCAATGGTAAATTATAAGTAATGCAGCAGAGAAGTTGGATCTTTCTGGCTGAATAAATGTCACAACTGAGAAAAACGGTAACTCAACTTTCTATATTTGAACATCTCATTATCTTCTAGGCCACTGAAAGACACAGGAGGTTTCAGAGAGGTGACACGTAAGGTCTCACGCTGATAATCCATCCTTTAATTATTTTATGGAGGTTAATGTTGCAGTGGTAGAGTAGTAGCTTGGTCTGAGCAGTGAATAATAGGTTTTAGTAGAAACGAGTTTAATGGAAAATTAATAAAGCGGTGCAGAATGGCTGAATTGCACATGAAGGCTGGTGATGACGTTCGTGCTTTGCTAGTACTGCTATAAGGGCTCTATTTTGCAGTTGGTTTCCAGGAAGCTGAACCATTTTCTCTCCTATTATGTCCTCTGTTCCTAGTGAGGTTTCCTTCCTTTCTTACTTCCCCCCCGGACAGTGCCAGTGCACCTGAGGAGCAGATCTCCAGCTGAGGCGCCAACTCGGCCTCTCTGAGAGGGGCTCTCTCCCACCACGTGTACACGTTTTCCAGCATTGAGCAGCTCACCGTTGCTGTCTTCCAGCCAGGTCTGGCAAGACCGGCTTTGGTTCTGTGCCGTTGCAGCACGTCCATTGTAACCTTGTGTGCGTACGGCGGTTTCAGACCTGTCCTGGTCTGTAGGGAACGTGGCCACTGCGTCGATCGTGCCGGTCGTCTCTGGGGACATCTGCTGGAGCGACCCGGCTTTCTGGTGCTGGGCACCCAGGCAGTGCTGCTTACTGATACCACGGACCTTGCACGGGTTGTGGAGCAGAGGGGAGGATGAGTGCAAGTGGTGCACTCTGCAGGGCCGGTGGTGGCTGTTTGGGACGGAGAGGAGGGATGCAAAGTGTGAGCAACTCCCTTCTCCAGGAGAAAAGCCTGGACTTGGTGAGCGGCTGAGGGCTGGCGTGGAGCTCTGCAGTCAGCGGGGGGCGGTGGGGATCAAACAGGAGAGCTGTTGGGGTAACCGAGTCCAGGTGTGCTGCAGGACAAAACGTAGCTGCGGTCAATAGGGAACCTCGGTTCCAACGTGTTTATTGTGACTGTTGCTCACCTCAAAACATTCAAGTGTTAAACTCTTTTCCAAATGCAGCCTCTCCGTTTGGTTCTTGTTTCCTGCCTATGACTCATCAGAGCCTCGACTTCCTGAGGAAACCTGAAGGCTTGAGGGAATTGCATGCATGTTTCTGTTTCTAATGTACTCCTGTTGAATACAAAATAAGAAGGAAAATGTGTGTGGAGTGAACATCAACGTGGCTTTTAATGGCCTGATAGCTTATTTTTTTTGACTGAAACATCCTGGTTAATTAAAGCTCAGTGTGACAAGCATAGAGCTTGTTGAGTGTAGGAAAACCTGCCTTGCAGGGAAATTGCTTGGATTATTTTTTTAGTAGTTTTCTTCATCTGTCCCTGTGTTGCATTAAAATGGATGCAGAGGGAGAAATAATTCAGTGAAACCTAACACCAACAGGCTGGTACTGTGTGACAGTCCCAAATGCAACTTAATTTGGCCGACTTTGGTAGAATCATTGCTGGAGTCACTCCCTGACCTGGTGCGGAGCAGAGGAGCCCCGGTGAGGCTTGTTCCAGGATCCGAACTGAGCGTAACAACCGGCTGCCACGGAGCTGCCCGGCCCCGGTCGTGGTGCTGGGTTCTGGTCTCTGACCACGGCTTCTCCTGTCCAGGCACACGGAGAGGTGTCCTGGCACCTTGGAGGCCCCTAGCACTGGAGGAAAAACATCCTGTGGCTTCCTTCCTAGGGGAGTAAGGGGTGAAAATACTGCAGCGTGTTTTGAGGCAGCCGTGGTGTATTTGTGTGAATAACTTGCAGGCAGTGGCAGGGCTTGTGTGCAATGGCCCACGAAGGCCCTGTCTGTTCCTGTGATCTTAAATGAACCCCTGCAGAACGTACAGCAAGCTGATACCTGTGTGTGCAGACATATATACGTATAATACAGATTGCTTATGTGGATATGTATTTTCTATAAAAGATATACATAAATAAAGAGGCAGTCCCTGTAACTCATCTATTCAGAATTGGTTAGCTACAGTTTCTTTTTTAAATGAGCTGAGTTTTGGCATGCACAGAGCTAATGAATACTTGTAATTTTTGCCAGTTCTAATTTTAGCCACCTAGAGTCTTCATTACAGGACACGCACGTAATTAAATAGCCTTCTTGAGAGTTCACAAGCTGTCCTTTTACTGGTTTGAAATGATCAAAATATTTTTTAAATGATCCTATAAATCTAAGCAGGCTAGAAAGGCAATATAATAAAATGTAATTCTCATAATCTGAATGCTTTGTGGTGGACCCAAATTCTGGTCTGTGGCCCCATGCGTGTGATTCAGCGAGGCCGAGAGCAGCTTCTTTCTGTGAAGCATTCGTGCACCTTGTGTAGGCTGGGCTATGGCCGAGGGACTTGACCCGTGTCCAGCAGCAGCAGCTGGGGCCCACGTGGACCTTCGAGAGGTTTTATTGCCCAGTTTGATAGAGACTCTGCTCTTCACCAAGCCACAGTAAAGGTGATGATAGTCCTGCTTCGTAGCATCCTAATTTACCCACTCTATGCGTGTGTTTCTGTACCTGTGTTTATATAGTCTGTGCTGTTTGCTGCATCTGTCTAGCACAAGACTATTTGTGTTTGAGGCTCGTGGGGAACTTGTGGAGACAATATTAAGAGCAGACTGATGTGCACAGGGCAGGCTCCACCAACTGAAACAAGGATTTGACTATTCAAAGGCAATGTACAGTGCAGTATGTGTATTGTATTAGAAATATGACCATTTTTGCTATTTAAAGCAAGTATTTCTTTTAAATTATTTCCACTTGCCTTTATGTGGGCTTACAGGATCCTAACTCGGTTGCTTTTCCTCAAGCTGTGCCGCTTCCCTAAACAAAAGCAGATTTTGGCTTTCCTTGTGAACTGTCCCGGTTGACTGCAATCCTGCACCCTTTCCTGTGGCCCTGGGGCTGGGGAGGAACTGGGGAGTGGAGATGGGGCACAAGAGCCCCGCGGTGAGGCCCACACCAGCTGGGTGCTCCTGGGTACAAGGATGAGCCGCACATGGAGCACAAACAGGGAGAGACTGGGGCCAAAGTGTGCTCCACATCCTGTGTTGTGTTTACAGCAGCAATTATACACACAGAGGACATCCAACTCCCTTTATATAAACTTCTTGTTTTATTAAAACTAGTATTTTCACTCGGGATTTAAGGAATCCTTTATTCCCCATGAACAAAAGCATCTCGCAGCAGGGCAGCCCCTTGGGTTTCACCATCGCCCTCCGCACAGGCGGCACAGGCCGCATGAAACGAGCACAG